ACACTTAAGCTCCTCAAGGGCAGGAAAGATGTTTCTCTTTGACCTTGTGTCCTTAATACCTCTGTGTCTGGCGCATGGCAGTCTCTCAATAAACAGTTGTTAGATGCTTTATATATGTGGGTTCCTGTTTAAGCAGGACTCCGTATACATATAACACTGTACTGTTTGCAAAATCCCTTGGTCTTAAGAACCACTCCTGATTCAATGACCTGTTTCTATAGATGAGTCTGCCTTTAGCACAACTGGTCAGTTCTAATTATTGTTCCCAATTGAAACAGTCTGAGGCTTCTGTTCTGCATTCAAAGATTCTGTTACACGGTGGGCTGCACCACTGAGTCTCTCAGAACCTCAGCTCCTCAGGGTCATCGCTTCCTTCAGGGTGTGCCACGTTCTGTGGGAGCACCTCAGGGTCATCGCTTCCTTCAGGGTGTGCCACGTTCTGTGGGAGCACCTCAGGGTCATCGCTTCCTTCAGTGTGTGCCATGTTCTGTGGGAGCACCTCAGGGTCATCGCTTCCTTCAGTGTGTGCCATGTTCTGTGGGAGCACCTCAGGGTCATCGCTTCCTTCAGGGTGTGCCATGTTCTGTGGGAGCACCTCAGGGTCATCGCTTCCTTCAGGGTGTGCCATGTTCTGTGGGAGCACCTCAGGGTCATCGCTTCCTTCAGGGTGTGCCATGTTCTGTGGGAGGACGTCTTCGGTAGGGAATGTTTTCCTGGGTCCCTTACACCTGGGTCATACATATGTTTCTTCAAGGTGCTTCTGAATTTCCTTGTGCCACGGTCTCAGGGTTTCAAGAGTATAGACCTAGTGTCCATGTTAAATTCTTGGCTTGGAATTTCCAAATTATACGGGTATTAAAAATTTTCCACAAAGATTTTTCTGTCTCTGCCCGGACCCTTGGATAGACCCCCTTCCTTGACACTTCTCTGGGCCATGGGCAAAGCACCTTTCCATGAATTGGGCAGCCCTCTGAGAATTCTAGCTTTCTATAGGTTCTCGGTTAGAGCTCCCAGGCTAGTCATCAAAGCCACGCTTCCTACACCAGGGCACGGCATTCAGGTCTGAGCCTCTGGACCCTAAGGTCCACCACACAGGTCTCATACCAAGCCTAGGCCAGTTGAACCCTCTGGCTTTGGGTTCTCTTCATTTTGTAACCTGGGAGTCCCTTTCATATTTCTAACTCAACTATATTTCCCTATGTTTATAATGGGAAAAGGGTCCTTACAAAGTCCACATACCATGCTGCTGAAACCATTCTCCCGAATACATTTTGAGCCCATTCACTTTTCTCCATCTCTCCTACTACCACCTCAGGGCAAGCCACTGTTCTCTCTCATGTACCTTTCTTCTGTAGTGCTCTCCTTAACGGTCATCTCACATCCATTCTTGTCCATTCTTCCCCTGTCCAATTCATGTGCAATACTGCAACCAGAGTTTAAAAGCCAGAATTTTAAAAAATATGTCAGATTATGTTATTTTTTGCTTGAAATCTTCTATTGGCATATGACCCAGCAATTCTACTCCTACGTATATACCCAAGAGAAAGGAAAACATATGTCCACATAAAAACTTGTGCATGAATGTTTATAGTAACATTATGCATAATAGCCAAAGAGGGAAACAACCCAAATGTCTACCAACTGATGAATGGCAAACAAAACGCAGAGTATCCACACAATGAATAGTACTTGGCCGTAAAAAAGAATAAAGTACTGACACACGTGACAACATGGATGAACCTCGACAGCATCAGGCTACTGAAAGAACTCAGTCACAAAAGACCACATATTGATTCCATTTCTATGAAATGACCAGAATAGGCAACTCTACAGAAACAGACAATAGATCAGTACTTAAGTTTTGTTTTTTTTAAATATTGGCACCTGAGCTAACAACTTTTGCCAATCTTCTTTTTTTTTTCCCTGTTTTTTTCTCCCCAAATCCCTTCAGTACATAGTTGTATATTTTTTTTAGTTGTGGGTCCTCCTAGTTGTGGCATGTGGGATGCCACCTCAGCATGGCCTGATGAGCGGTGCAATGTCCACGCCCAGGATCCGAACCAGTGAAACCCCAGGCCCCCAAAGCAGAACGCGCACGAACTTAACCACTCAGCCACGGGGCCGGCCCCAGTACTTAAGTTTAAGGGGAATGCACAGATGGGGGCCGGGGGCGATAGCTAAAGAGCATGGGATTTCTTTTTATGGTGGTGAAAATGGTCTAAAATTGATTTTGGTGATGGTTACCATATCTATGAATATACTAAAACCTACTGAACTGTACACTTTAAACGGGTAAATTATATGGCACGTGAATTATCTCTCTACAAAGCTGTTCAAAAAAATTCTCCCAGTGGCTCATCACGGTTCTTAGCATACAAATCCCCAATCCTCACCACTAGCTGTAAGACGTGGCATTCTACAGCCCCCTCCGACTCCGCGGGCATCATCTTAGACTTCTTCTTCCTGACTCACTGCACTCCAGTCACAGCGTCTTCTCTCAGTTTCCACGAAGGACTGAGCACCTTCCCGCCTCAGCATCTTTTCCACAGCCAGATCTTCTGCAGGAACGCTCATCCCCTTCTCTCACCGAGCTACTGTTTGTAGCATTGAGCACCACACTCTCAGGAAAAGCTTCTCTGACCCGCAGGAGAAGGGAAAACTTCTGCAGCACAGGAAGATCTTCTGCAGCACTGTCCTAACAACTCAGACCGCCTCTGCAGAGCATGCAGCACAAGTGCACTTTGTTCAACGTTTGTTTTTCTTTACCAGCACAGACATTTCCCAGGGCTGAGACCACATTTGCCGGGTTCCCTGCTATATCATCTGGCTTTACCATAGTACTTGGCAACGGCAGGTGCTCAACAAATATTTTGAAAAGAACGAATACCAGTACATCGCAAGTGACAGAGCCCAAGAGCTCCTCATTTAGGATCTTCCTATTTACTGATCTTGTGCCATTTCCCTGTTTATTTCATTATCTAAAAAATATTATTTATTATCTAACAAACATCTAATATCTCCCTATTATCTTGTGCCATCCCAAAAATGCACTTATCTTTTTTGTTTTTAAGATTTTATTTTTCCTTTTTCTCCCCAAAGCCCCCCAGTACACAGCTGTGTATTTTTAGTTGTGGGTGCTTCCAGTTGTGGCATGTGGGACACTGCCTCAGCATGGCTTGATGAGTGGTGCCACGTCTGTGCCCAGGATCTGAACCAGTGAAACCCTGGGCTGCTGAAGCGGAGCACGTGAACTTAACCACTCGGCCACGGGGCAGCCCCTAAAATGCACTCATCTTGATATACCACGTTCATATTATTATTCATTAACATCTTGACTTAATTCTTTCATTCTTATACTTGCCCTTCCTTGAGGAAATACATCCTAGTTATAAGATGTGCAACGTAGCAGGCACTCAATAAACATCTGTGGAGTGAATAGAGCAAAATCAAAATCTGTAGGAGGTGCTATGTGATTGATCATAGGTTATGAATTCCCAGAAGACAGGGACCTCTCTCTAGGTTTCTCTACATAATGGCTCGTGCAACTAAGTATTTAATAATGCAGCTGACAAAGAACCTGATTTAGCCATCCTTTCAGGGATCATGATCTTAATGATGAATCTAACTCATTCTACTTGTCTCAGCTCAGAAATATTTTTTAAAGCAAGTTTTTTTCAGGTAATGAAAGATTATTTTTGCATTTAGTTTCTAGATGAAACTAATAGTATCTAAATTACATCGAGCTGTTAAATAAATAGGCATTAAACATCCAAGATTGATTTACTAAAACTTCCTTGGCTGGAAGCCAATTAAAAGATGACTACTTTTGGCTCTGCAACCTGTTAGCCCAGAAAATTGATTTTCTTCAACTTTTATGTAAAGAAATTTTTAAAAAACGAAGGAAGGAAAAGAAAGGAAGAAGAAAAACACTAGTTTTCAACTCACTTAGCATCTCCCCTCTATTTCTTCTCCAAATGTGTTGTTTTAGAGCTGTCTTTATAATAAACATCTAAAGAGTTTAACTCGTATCTTGTAGGTTATAGGATTTCTTGACTCACCACACATATATACACTCACAAATAAAAACCTCCTTCCTTTGGATATTCACGGTAAAATGAAGCCAAACTGAAATTTAAATTTTGATAAAATTTCACCTCTTTTTCTACTCTTAAAAAAAGGATAATTAGGGGCTCAGTCTCTAAGCAGATCTGAAACTCCCAGGAGTGCCTTCTATCTTTTACACTTCTCTCAGTGGGAGTAAGTGGCCCATTCTCCTTCGTCACATCTTCCAAGGTCTCTTAATCCTCACAATCGAAAAGTTCTTCTAAGCTTCTGCCTTAAATCTCTCCTATGTCAATCCAGGACTGCTGCCTCATAATTTTTCTCTAAAGAAATGCAGAGTAGCCAGTTACTGTCCTTCTACCATATCATTATATACTATTCATTTCCTTTTCTAGTATTATTCTCAAATTAATTAAAACTTTATATCCTAGCACTATTTCTCCAAGCGTTTTATTATACTATTGCTTTTCTCTGCTTCTACCATATCATTATATACTATTCATTTCCTTTTCTAGTATTATTCTCAAATTAATTAAAACTTTATATCCTAGCACTATTTCTCCAAGCGTTTTACCATACTATTGCTTTTCTCTGCTGCCAGAGAAGTCATCATGGACGACCGGAACAAAACCAGAGATCCTTCTCTGTGCTCAGGTTCTCCAACACAGAATGGGGAAATAATGCCTGACACTGATCTTTCGTATGAGACAAATAAAAAAAAGATATGCCTATATCCATAATAGAGTAAGAATCTACGTTAAATAAATCAGATACAATTAAGTTCTCCACCAAGCGTCTCCCAGAGGCAAAGTATACATCCCAGACTGTAATACAGAGATCTGCTTTCATTATTTGAGATTGAGAAAAGACTGCACACCCACTCCCTTATCGCCGACCTCAACGCAGAAGCCCACAGAGGAGATGGGTGCTGCACATACCTCCTCCTGTCCCTGGCTTCTGCAGAGGAGTCTGTTCCAGGAGTGGAGAGCAGGGTGGCAGTTGTGACCCCATTGGCAGTGCTGGGTGGAGGGCGGTTGGTGATCACGCAGAGCGGGGTGCTAGAAGAGATGCTGTCTGCTGTTTTCTCTGCTGTTGAGTCAGCCTGGGATTTGTAAGGAGTCCTGAAACCAGAAAAGACAAAAGCAGAAAGAGAATGGTCAGGATGCTACACAACGAAGCACCAGCTCAGGGACAGAGGGCTCGAAAGAGGCTGAACTGGAGGAGCTTCTGGCTCAGACTTTGTTTGTTGATTTCTTTTTAAAAATTCTGAGCTCTTAAATCTTAGAATGATATGATTATATTCAGTCTGATATCCTCTGCCTGAGAAGTTATGTTTTCTAAAATCATTTTTTTGCCAGATTAAAAAAATTTTTTAAAATTAGCTATGGCACAAGGCGGGAGGGTGACAGACATATGCAAGAGTGCTTTAGATGCGTCCTGAGTACCATCTGGCCTCCACACATGCACAGAGGCACGGCCAACACGAACACGACACTCGCGTCACTTACAGGATTGGTCTCCCTGCCCCTTACTGCTGGGCAGGGAGAGTCTCTGCGGTGGTGCTCAGCCTGCACTGGACGGCCGTCCTCCCGGACTACCCAGAGACCTGTGATGGACACTCCACCACCCCAGCACGGTTAGCTCTCCCTCACCTGGCTCAGCAACTGCTCCTTCCGTTTAACCGAATGCCTGACTGCCTGTAGCATAACTGCACGAATGAGAAACTGAAACACAAACTAACAGGATTCTATATGCAACCTTAACTACAGACTTTCCAACAGCAAGCTGTATAATTAAACTCATTTACATGAAAACAAGATCTTTGTTTCTTAACAAAGAGTTGAGAGCAACCATTGGCTCTCCACCCAAAAGCTATCATTTGTGATGTCACAGCTTGTTGCTGGGGTAACAGAGATCCAAAATTGATACTCACAGAGATGGGAAAAACAATGAAAATAACAAATGTTAAAAATCTGTTTTTTTTACCTCCTCACAATTACCAGTAATGCTTAAAAGTAGCTTTAAGCTCACTTTTAAATAATCACATTATTAGAATAAGTTTGAAAAAAATGATCAGATCATAAAAATCTAAATAAGGTACATAGATGCAAATATAAAAATAGAACAGTTCTGAAGCGGTATCTAAAAAACACAGCCACTTCTCCAGAAGCAATTAATGACGCGAAAAAAGGTGAAATTTTATATTCACTTTTTAATTTAAAAAAAGGTAAATAATTCCTTAGACTTACAAGGTATCTATAGGAAGTACTAATAAAATTAGCCAGAAACAAAGCTATAAAAAATTATACTTATTAAAATCTTACTTGAAATTCTTTTTAGATTAACAACATATTTTGGTCTTTGCAATTTCTTATGTTGTAGAAATGCTAAGGAGTTTATTTTATTAAATCATAGAATAGGACTTTACCACTATTTGAAATGTGGTGTAATTTACAAGTGATTGTTAGGAGCAGAACAGGAAAAGCTCCAGAGCAGGCACCAGGGCTCTGGAGCCTCCTGGGGCTGAGTTTCAGCCACCTGAACCTCTCTGATCTCTTGGTCTGTAAAATCGGGTAACGATACTGTGAAATGCAGGGTCTCGTGATGATTAAATAAAATAATATATGTAGAACACTTAGTAATGCGCCGGAATAAAATATAGGCTCAGTGGAAACAAAATAATGAGACGAGCTCTGAAATGGACACGCGTAGGTTCAAATCCCATTTCAGCTCCTCACCAGCTGTGTGACCTTGGACAGACGGTTAACTTTTTGGTTTCAGTTTCCTCATCTGTAAAATGAGAATAAAATCGCATACACTGGAGGGCTCTTTCTAAGACTAGAAATAATATATGTGTGCCTGAGACGGCTAGTTGCCTAACCCATTTTCATTTTCCTGTTCTTCTTTACCCACAGAATCTGTGTATTAAGGGCAGCACTGCACCTAGTTCAACATCCACATTTTCCAAAGTCTCCCTGGCTGCTAGAGACAGCCAATGAGACATAGCAGAAAACTAGTGCTTTCGGGAAAATTCTCATTTCAGAAGCATTCCCTCCGTGCATTTCCCCTTTTCCTCCTTCTTTCTGCTTAGAATGCAGCTATGATGGGTAGAGCTCCAGCAGCTATTTTGGACCATGAGACCACCCATGGAAATGGAAGCCATGATCTAAGGACTGTGAAGCAGACAGAAAGAAGGAATCTGGATCCTTTACTGACTTTGGAGCTGTGTGCCAGCCCTGCCTATTCTGGACGTTCTTAAGTGAGAGAAAAAAATAAACCTTTATCATATTTAAGCCCTATTATTTGGATTTACTATTATACCAGATCCCAATGTAATTTTTGTCCAGTATCTAACCTGAGCCTGGCACACAACAGGGTTCAACAAATGGTAGTTATTATTTTTCCCCACTGTTATTAGCTCTTAATAGTTAATCAAGTAACCTCTCTGTCTCTTGGTTCCTTCATCTATGGGAATAATATTTACCATGTCCATGAAAATGGATTATTATGAGGACCTAATAAATTTCTACATAATTATACAGTATTATTATTAACAGTTCAGCATAAGGTTATCCCTCCTGGCCCAATCAGTGACACCACTCACTGTAGGGAAAGAAATCTAGTAAACTGACAAACATCAATCAGGCGCCACCCTCAGAGGTGCTCATGCAGCAACATTATCATGATCCATGTTTTTCATCTTCTTTGTGTCAGTTGTAGAAACAAGACCCAAAAAAGGAGTCCCTGTGCCATACCACAAAGAAAAAGGTCTCTGACCAGACATAAAGGACTAAAACCCACAGTGAAGCCGACAGCTGGAGTGCCGCTGCACTTTCACAATGACACTCCGCCATGCTGCCCTCAGATGCACCAGAAACCAGGAGCCAGCGTCCCAGGGACAAAGCCCAGGCAAACACACGTCTCTTCCTTCCCATGTGTTTTCAGGAAAACACACTCCGCGGCTGGGAACGTTCACAAGGCTACAGGAGTCTTGCGGAACAAGAGAGCTTCCTTCTGATCTAGGTTTGCATGCCATCTTCCACAAAGACTAAACAGAAGAGATTCCTACTCATAATTACTGGAAAATTAACCTAAGTGAAATATGGGGATATTTTTAATATGTCATTTATCACAACCATATGAGCCTTAAATTGTAATCGCAACTGGTAAGGCTATGGAGAGACGAAAGCAGTCACGTTACGTTGATGCCTAAACACCAAGTTCAAAGACACACACGCTGCGGTTTTTCAATAAGCAGCTGTTGAGTGGCTGATACAAGTCAAAGCACAGCACCCTCACTAAAGGGTGGACATTTTCACAGGAACGCAAACTTGCTTCTACAGTGACAAACTCTTTGGCTCAAATCTCATGTGTGCATCCAGAGGCATAAGCTTTGAGGAACGTGACTCAAGTGGCCCCACGCAGCCTTACCTGCCATGGTGTGCGGAGGCAGAAGTGTCTGCACTGACTGGCGCAGGGCAGGAAGAGGCAGGCTGCCACCTGCTGCCCCGAGAGGTAGATGAAGCAATGGTAACGGGTGAGGTGGCAGGAGATGAATTGCGACTGGCTGAAATGTAGGGACTTGTGGGGTCACTACTTCTAGCAAATGACGCACTGCAAAACAGCACACAGTCACTTTCCTCAGGACATGCTGCTCACCCACCGTTTCCCAGCACCACCTTCCCACCCAGATTGTGCACTTAAAGGAATGCAGACCACAGAGAGGGCATGACAACTGGGAAGTGGAGGGACCAACTCCAGCTAGAGCTGGGCCACTGGCAGCAAGCAGGCATCTGTCAATCATACCAGAGTGAAGGAATGTGAAGGAGGAGAGACCATATGCATCAAGAGAAAGCAGAAGAGTAGAACAGACGAAGAGAGCAGAGGCTGAGAGCGGTATAATAGGAAATAGAATAATTTCATTAGAAAACATAGTTCCCCACAAACCCCAAGGCAAAAAAATCATGCAACCCCCAATGTCTACTTGATAGAGAAGTGACACTGCGGAAGCTGAAGTAGGACTGAGAATTCGGAGAGGTCTGGAGAAAAGATTTAAAACTAAAGAGTGGAGAAGAGTAAAGAAGCTCTGTGGAAGAAACTGTGTTTGAGAACCACGGTCATTAGCCTAAAGCAAAAAGGCCTCTGGGGAACTTGAGTCCCACTCTAGAAAGCACTACCGGCATGGCCGAGAGAAGACAACTCCTGTTTCACCCGCAGATACGTAAGGACCATCTCAACTGCAGCAAAAAATTCTGGGGTCAGAATTTGAAAAAAACTTCTTGACTCTAATATAACGAGACATTTGAGGGGGTGACTAAAAAGAGCTATGAAGCTTTCTTTGGAAAAGATGCATTTTCCTGGGCCACATGAAAGGTCTGTTGTCCTACAGACGAGAGATGAACTAGGCAATGGAAGTGTGCTGAGGCTGGCACAGCCTGAGAACGACAAAGGTCTACGCACACTTTCTTCTTCAAATAGTGATGGCATACGATTCTTTCCTTCTGAAAGGATCATAAAACAAGATTCTGTGAAATCAAAAAGTGCTTTAGGGTTCTGGAAGGAGAGCTCTGAAATCTAAAGGAGGAAGCGAGCTGCGAGTCTTGTAGAGTGCTCACAGGATCAGGCACGCTTCCACCCTCACCAGAGGCAGTCTCTCTGCCCTGCTCACCACCATGACGCCAAACCACACCCACCAGACCACTGCCACTCACTCAACCCACCTGCTGACCATGTGGATAGTGAAAATCAACAACCCCACCACTAAATAACAACATGCCTGAAAACTAGATGTCAGCTTTCTCTTTAGATCTAGAATATTACTTTCTTAGGAAAGTTTTCTTGGTCTTGGATCCAACCATAAGGAGTAATCATGAGAGACTAAGACCTTAGCTTTCAAGACAGACACGTGCTGGCCTCATCAAGCCAAGAACACTGAGCTTGCATATGAAGCTTCAGTGAGATCCCTGAACTTGTATATCCTTGTATACTTTCAAAGCTAACTCCTTTCTGACAAGATGCAGCTGCAGAACTGAAGAACATTAAAAGGCAGTTTGTTTTATAGCTAACTAGTTCCCATGTTCTGACATTAACTAGTTGACAAGATTCTTCCAAATTGTGTGGAAATAAGTTTTAATCCCAAACACACAGTCTGTGGCCAATGCCAGTTTCTAGGGTAGCCACCCAACCATCTAAAATTCTAATGAGGAGGGCTATGGCAGAAAGAGGCAGCTGGAGGGTCAAGGAAGGGAAAGTGAAGAAAGAATTCAAAGGAAGCAATGAGAATCAGATTCTTCCACATCAGCAGCAAAGTTCAAATCAAAATACGAATTAGTGTATTTTATAGCTTAACGGCTCTGGCAAAAGGTGCTTTGCCTGCTGGCTGGTACACGGCAAAGAAAATAACTGCAGAAAAGGGATACAGATGAGAAAAGGGGAGGGAAACCCATGTACCTTCTCTGCACCACACTTGCGAGTTTCACATCTTGATGGATCTGAGGGCCATTAAAGTCATAAAAAAAAACAACTCAAGTCCCTAAATTAACAGGCTTCAATATGAAACTTGTTCAATGCAACACAAAACTGTCCCCATGTCCCACCCCTCACCACCCTACAGGGTCCCTCCCTTCCTCCCCTGGAAAAATATAACTTGAGATGAGAACTACTCCAGTTTTAGAAAAGGGAGAGCTAGCCACTGGGCAAGCGTGATGCAAATTCAGTCCTGCTCAGAGATTACTACAAGTCACTTCTGGTTGAAGATTTAACAGGACTGAGAGGATGGAGTATAAATTCAGATCTGTTTCTGGTGAGAATTTGGAATCAGCTTATTTTAATTCAGTTAAGAAAATAAATTAATTTTAATTTAAAATTAGTCAAGATGTTACTCCCAAGAGATCTAAAAGTAATTCACTTTTTGATTCATTTTTGTAGTGCCAATTGGATATAAAAGGCATGCAATTATTACCCAAATAGCCATGGCCAGAGCGAAGGAAAATCATCTCCTGGCCCTCAGGACCTGGTACCTTTTCAAGTAGGTTGATACGTAGGTGGAAGGAGCAATTGTCTGGGGCGTGTCATTTCCCTTTGCTTCATCCCTCCACAGCTGCCGGGCATAGGAACCACTCCTCACTAGATTGACAGCTGATTCTCTGTAGAGGAACGAAAGGAAAACAAAACACTGATTCCTACCACAGTTTTTGTCTGTGATACAATGCAAACAGGGAGAGAAGAGACAGATAGGCAAGCTGTAATACGGCTAAGGAAGTACACATTTTCTAAGTGACTCTTTGTTTTATATACCTGTTTTCTGTATAGACAGAGGAAGAGAAATATTACTGTCTGCTTTCTTTTACCAACTTCAAAACCAACTATTTTCAATAGGTACCAGATCCTTATGTCAAAGGTCTCTAAGCCTTTTATAAGGAAAAGTCACTTTGTTCCTCCTCTAAAAAGCTTTGCACATCAGCCCCCAGTGATAGGCTGCTCCTAAGCAAGCAGGGACGGGGCGCTGAGGAAGGTGAGGGAGTCTGTCGCAGGCAAGCAGTTCCTGTGAAGAGGAGAGCAGGAGGACTTGCTGGAAGCCTCTTCAGCATTATAAAGGAGGAGGCTCTAGCAGGATTTCTGATTCACAGTTGCTAACTCAGGGTCTTTGCTACAAAAGCTGTGGGTCTCCACGTTTCAAAAGCTTCTCTAGAGCAGTCCTTCTCAAACTTCAATGTGCATTTGAATCACCCAGGGAATTTTGTTAAAATGCAGAAGCTAATTCCGAAGGTCTAGGGTGGGGCCTGAGATCCTGCACTTCTCACATGCTCCCAGGTGACACCCATGTGGCTGCTGGGAGGACCACACTTTGAGGGCAAGGGTCTAGATCAGGTTCTGCTCCGAGATGCAGCAATACTTCAAAATCCCCAAATCCATTTTAACCCATGAGGAAGACTTGAAATTTTATCTACTTACAAATTAAAAGTTGATCGATTCAATTAAATGACAACATTTTTAGTTTACCATGAGGTAGGCCCTGTGCTAGGCACTAGGGGTACTTGAGAAACCACAGATGTAGACCCTGCCGGTGCAGAGCCTGCTGGTGGATGGGAATAAATCCACTCAGAGGAGTCAGGGAAGACTTGCTACAGACAGGAACGAGAACCTGAAGGGCCAAGAATGGGCAACGCAAGGGAGTAAGGGCTGGGAGGTGTTCTGAGCAGAAGGAGCAAATAATCCACACTGTGCTGAGGACACCTGCGGGAAGAGGGCAGCAGAACAGTGGCCAGGAGGTCACCATGCCCAGCAGAGTTAAGGAGGACCACCCTGGCCTGGATAGGATCACCTGTTCTCCTTCTCCTCAACGTCACTGGTGTTGCTGAGCCTTCGGGGCGCGAGCGAGCTAAGATAGCTTCTGTTTTCTCGCTCCTGTAAAACCAGAACAAGTAAAGCACAGGGAAGGTGTGTGAACCATTTTGGGTAAAAAAGCAGAACTTCATACACCTACAGAATCTTATCTCTACATTCAAGACCAATTCTAGTCTGAGCGGGATTTCAAAGGGTTCCCTTTAAAAGGCTTCTTCCTAACTTTCCTCCATTAAAAACCGGTATGTAGGAAAACAATTCTCATGGGAAAAGCCAGGATGATCAAATAAGGAAAAGAGCTGCACAAGTTACACAAGCAGCAGCCCTGCCAAGAGAGGGAGCCCTTGAAAAGCCACAAACAGAAAGTTCCACTTGCAGGTTCTTATGAAACGAGCCTCACTTCTTCCCCAGCCTACCTCTTCCTTGAAATGCAGCTTCCTGTACAACAAACACGCTGCAGAGTTAATCCCACCACTGTGCTCACCCCCATGAGAAGTCTCCAGAAACGCAGTATTGAGCCAGGAGATGATGACTGCAAGGAAGACGTGGCCCCAGGAAGAGCACCAAGTGAGCCCAATAAAATACGGAACCCAAAGTGAAGAAATAAAGTGTACTCATCTTGTATGAACACGCACATGAGCTTGGGGAAACTAGCCTGATCATACGTCTACTAATGAAAAAAAGGGTAAGAGGAATGAACATAAGGTATGCCAAAAGGAAAGGGTTTTTCCTCTTTTGGCCAAGCAAATAATAGCAACCAAACTATTTACTTGAGTAAACTAGCAATGTGCCTGTCTCCTTTAAAGACTTTGTCCTTCCAGATTCAAATTCAGGACTACACAGTCTTTTCCTTTGCTCCGGAGACTGAATTTTCACGAAGGGAACTGCCCAACCGCACCTTATCCTTGTCCAGCAGAGCGGAGACCCGAGGGCTGGACGACGAGCGGAAGACGGAGGAGCCTCGGTCCCTCAGGGCCTCCCTGGAAGTGGCCACCTCACTCAGCGTGTTGTGGCTGCCAGTCTTCCTGAGGCCCAGTCTCCATGAAGAAGGAGACTCATCTTTGGGCTCTTCTGGCTTGTTAAAAAGGCTGGAGGAGAACTATGAGGGAAGAAACAGAAAAGAAAAGAAAGGTCCTGATGACTGTTTGCAGACTATTTGCCTTTTGCACACTTCACTAAGTTCAGTGAGGCAGGAGAGGGAGAACAAACACACGGCAGGCTCTCTGCCAACGCTGCCTTCCTCCCCTGGCAGCCGTGAACAACCTCTGAAGGCTCCCTGTCTCCCTGAGCCAGAAACAGCCTCAGATGCTCATCACAGAGCTCCTACCTGACCGAGCTGCTCCGGGGAATTAAACACCATTGGCTCCCACTACACAGCGAGTACTGACCCAGGAGGCCAGGGGACCCGAGTTCTAGCAGAACCTCCTCTCCTGACTCACTGGTAACTACAAACAGGACACTTTACTTCTCTACTCAACATGCTCATCTGTAAAACGGTGACAATGAGCTCAATTCCTCCTTATAATCTGGGGAGACTGAGAACACAAGATGAGTCCACGTACAAATACGTTTTATGGGACTGTGATAAGACTGGTAAGCTGATTTAAGTGTTAGGCATATTTAAGTATTAGTATTTTTATTAGTATTAAAATACTAAATAATGAAAACACTAAAGGGCCTCCCACTCAGATTCTAACTGCTTCTTTCAAGAAAACAGTTTCTTTGATGGAGGGCAGTCGTTCCAAGTGTTTCAGATTTCACCGAGCAGCAAAATTAAGAAAGAAAAAAATGGTAGTCATCATAGAATTGCCATCTTTTTTAATTTGCCAAGAGAGAACATCTTTCAAAAACTCGTTATCAATGCCATCACCACCATTTCATTAAAGAAAGAAATGTTAACATTAGAAAAGAAAGCCTTATATGAAGCTTCCCTGGACTGTAATTATCCCATTCTGCCATAAGCCACAGAAAACATCCTAGACTGGCTGTCGGCCAGAGACCAGTGTGGGGTCATCCGCCACCAGTCTCCTCCTGGGACCTGGGGACCTCTGCAAGAAGGCTCCGCTCTTTCTCAGACACCAGGCCACCCCCAGGGCCTGGTGTAGTGAAAATGCAGCAGAAACAGTAAACCCCTCGTCTCCAACTCACACTCCGATTTCCCTTTGACTCAGTCACCTGAACGTACGCACTTAGGGCCTCTTCCCAGCTTTAGAGGCTCCATCAGGTCAGCTCCTTACACGCTACCCTGATTTTGAGAGGAAAACGCCTTTCTCAGCATTGTTTCAGCAAAGTGGAAAAGGTATATGTACGTGTTTGTATTTTTTTCAATTCAGTACTTTTCTTTTCAAAAAGCAGGCAGTCGAGTCACACCTAGGAGCAGTGGGAGTAGTGAGGTACGACTAAACGATGGGGTGATGAGGGAGGACTTAAAATCTCTCTACTGACTCACGATGATGCTCCCAGGGATAAACAGCAGCCAGGGCTTTGCTTCCTCATTTCCACAATGATACCGTAATCCCACCTTTTCAATTTACGAGGTACTAGAAGATCAATAAGTTAAGATCTATAACACCAGAGAGCTTTTTCAACAGCTTCCTTCCAAAGAACTCAGATCAATTCTTGACCTCAAACTAATGTTACACTTTGCAGAGCAGGTCATCACTCAGCTCTGCCTCACTGACGAGCCCACAGCTTCTCCGAAGCCTGGCAAAGCGGCAGGAGGAGGGGCCCCCGTACTTCAACAGGTTCCTTCTACCTCTGCTCTCTGCTCATCACAAACTATGGAGACTTTACTTACGAAAGTAAAATTTTAAACAAGAAGGAAAAAAAGGAGAGTGGTCATCAAAACAATTACTGCTGGTTGCCAGATAATTTCCTCGCCCCATCTGAGCTTCAGACGGACTCACCCTAACTTCCGATATGACAAAAGCTCTCTGGTGCCGGACTACCAGACTCTATGTTTTCTGAACACACCGTAGCCAAATGTGTTTGGTGATGGTTTTATGGTTTTGTGGGCAATGTTACGGACGCAATGTTTGTGTCCCCCCTCCCTAAATTCCTGTGTTGAAGCCCTAGCCCCCAACGTGACTAAGTCTGGAGATCAGGTGGCTATCTGCAAGCCAGGAAGAGAGTCCTCACCGGGAACTGAGTCAGCTGGCACCTGGTCTTGGACGTCCTAGCCTCCAGAACTGTGAGAAATAAATTTCTATTGTTTAAAGGCACCTAGTCTGAGGTATTTTGTTATGGCATCCTGAGCAGACTAAGACAGGCAAGAACATATCTTTAAGGTCTTTCTCATTGTATGTTACTGCAGTAGGGGGAAATATAATATCCAAATTAATTCCAAGATACTCACTCTCCTGGCTGAAGAGGCGGAGAAGGTATTCTGAGCAGGTGCTGGTGTCTGCTCCATGGTACTTCTCTTGCTTTCAGAGGTGGAATGGTTGACAATGGCTTCTGGCTTTTTATCTGCTACTTAAGACAAGAGAAGCAACAAGCGCAAGTATGAAAATCTTATCTGTGTGTGTGTGGACTTTTCTGCTAACAGGAAAGGTTTACTCATTATCAAAACAGATTATTAGGCCCATGTGATGCTTGGACTCAAACTAAGATGCCACAAGGAAATAAACTCAGTGCTATTCCTGTCTTGGTCAGCGCCAATTCGAATCCTCAGATATACAACTGAAACCTTTCTCCACCTGATCCATCACACATAAAATTTACCAGTACGTACTTACTAAGAATCTACTCTGGGGGCCGGCCCCCTGGCCGAGGGGTTAAGTTCCCGCACTCTGCTTTGGCCGCCCAGGGTTTCATCGGTTGGAATCGAATCCTGGGTGTGGACATGGCACTGCTCATCAAACTATGCTGAGGCAGCGTCCCACATGCCACAACTAGAAGGACCCACAACTAAAAAAAGTAAAACTATGTACCGGGGGGCTTTGGGGAGAAAAAGGAAAAATAAAATCCTTTAAAAGAAAAGAAAAAAAAAAAAGAATCTACTCTGTTTTGGGGGGTTGGGCAGGAAAAATCAGAAAAAGCGTAAGACAGACCTTGCTTTCCAGGTAATTACAATCAAGAAGAGAAAACATGCACAATAATAATAGTAACAACATAAGATCACATATAAATTAGGTGCTAAATTGGCTGATTTAGATTAACAAGTGCTTTAGGAGTTCAGAGAAGAAGTAAATCCTCTGAGGGAAAGAACAATAAAGAAAGATGTCATGGAGGAAGCTGGAAGACAAATACCAATTGGCAGGAGGAAGAAAGGGCATGAGTAACGGCTCAGAAATCAGAAAATACATGTGTTGGTCAGTGAAGTGGCAGACCTAATTTAAATAATAAGTATTCTTGGGGTTACAATAGAAAACGAAAGTAGAAAGGATTACAGAGGATATTGCAAGTTAAGATACAGAAATACAGCATTTATGTACTCTGGAAACAGAGCCCAAGAGTAACCCACCCATCAATTATGTGACAATTTTAAGCCACATCCCAGCTGTGTGATACTTGGCAAGTTACTTACCATATATGAATATGAACCTATTTTCTCATTGATTAACCAGGGATTTATAGAAAGCAAGAATTATCTTGCCTTACGAGTTGCTATAAAGATTAGAGCTAATGTTTTTAAATTTCACAGCTCAATGTCTGGCCACAGTAAGTCCCTAGTAAATAGCTCATTAATGTTACTATTTTTGTGGTTATTGTGAATACTCAAGGCATTCTTTAAATACTATCTATCTCTATCTCCAAGAAATCTACGTCAATAGCCAAATGTGACAGATTGTTAAATAATAACTCCCCTGAATCTATACCATTGTGTGGTGCCCTCTCATATTGACTCTGGGCTTTGCAATGTGACTTTGCACGGCCACTGGGACATTAGCAAATGTGACTCAAGCAGAAGCTTGGACAGTGCTTGCACATAGAGCTCTGACCTCTCTGAGTACTTCTGGAATCCAGCTGCCATGTGACACGGCAGGGGCCAGCCTGCTTGATGATAAGAGACACATGGCCCACTTGCCCCAAACATCCTGGCCAACCACCAGAAAGGTGAGTAAGGCCATCCAAGACCAGCCACCATCCCCCAGATGACTTACCGACTGACCACAAACCCACGAGTAAGCCCACTACCATATGGGAGAGAGAACAGCCATCCCAGCAGAGCCCTTCCCAAATCGCCATACCATAGAATTGGGTGCATAGAAAGAGTTGTTTTAAGCTCCACTAAGTTTTGGGGCAGCTTGTAATGCAGTAATAGATAACTAATACACCAAATGTTTAAGTCAAATAAATAAAAGAAAGGGAAAAATAGAAATCCAAATCAAACTGCTAACATTCACCCCAAAATTAATTAATATTCTTTACAACTACATTTATATGTAAGACACATGAAAACTGTCATTTTTTGAGGTTGCATCTGTGGATCTTTAAAAACAAGATAAATGCATTCAACAAACACTTGTTCAGTAGGTACGTATGTCTGGCATCACGTGGGAAGGGTCAGACATAACCCACTTCCTGGCTTTCTTTCCATACAGTTTACTGAGCACCTGTTGTGCAGAAGGCCCTCTGCGAGGCACGGCGGGAGCCAGAAAGATAAACAAGACACAACACATCCCAGCGCTTCTGAAACTTGCTGGTGGGGAAGCACAGCGATGGGAGAAAAAAAGAAATCACACTAATCCTAAGTAGTATAAGTAATATAAAAGAAGTTCAAACAAACAGCTAGAGGAGTCAGAGGAGGGAAGAAAAACTTGTCCCGGTGATGATAAGGCTTCATAAAGGAAGCTGATTTGAGCTGAGCTCTGAAACTCGAGAAAAATTTCAATAGACAGAAATGAGCAGGGACGCGCGCTGGAAACACCTGGCTTCTGCCTACATCCGGCAACTGAACCTGCTCTCCGAGCTCACCAGTGGCGTGCTAACTGCTGGGTCACCTTGCTCTCTCCCTTCGCATTCCTGCCCTGGCTTTTCCGATGCAGAAACACAGATCCTGGTTCCCTCACCCTCTCGACCGTACGACCTTCTCTGTCTCCTTCAGACTCCACTCCTCTTCCTAAACATGGTGTGCCCCCACTTCTTTCTTGTACCTCTTTTGTCTACAATTTCTCCCTTGAGAATCCCATCCTTTTGCGCAGCTTCAGCTTTCACTTCTTACGCAGGTACTTTCCACATTTCATTCTGCCCCTGCAGTTTGAGGAGTCCCAGATCAAAGTCAGGATCTCAGGCATGCCACCTGCCAGCTGTGAAACCTAATTTCCTAATGTCCTACAGTTCTAAAAGGTGATGATAATAATACATACCTCAGGGTGTGGCTGTAGGGATTAAATAAAAATGTTTAAATGTGTTGCAAAGTAAAAAGTACTACACAAATGTAGTGTTATCATAACCCCCCAAACTAAATCAATCTTTCTTCCTGGTGAACACTGCTGACTGCCTTTATCTCTCATGTGACGTGTTTTATTCATGTATATGCCTTCCTGTTCCCCTCCATCCCCTAGATACAGTCAACAAAAACATTTAATGAATGTGAATGCTGTCATGTGCCAGACATCGTGCTGAGACCTGGGAGCACAACGATAAATCTAGAGTTCCCAGCCAAAATGATGAGTGTTACAACAGAGATAAGAACGCAGTGCTAGAAGGATCCTAACAGGGGAGCAGTTATGGGGTGGGAGAACTGAGAAGAGGTGCATTCCTTTTCAGCTTCTTGTTAAGAAAGACTTCTTCAATCGATAGACCCTATAGCTTCCAACAGAAACCATTCAATAAGCAGTTGACGGCCAGAAATGAATTCTAAGGCACAAATAATATTCAGGGTAGAAAGCCTGGGGCCTGTTTGGGGAAACTGAGTAATCCAGCTTGGCTGGCATATGTGCATACCTACGGAAGGCACTGGGAAGGCCAGCTGGAGCTAGATTAGGAAAGGTCTGGAAGCCAGGCTGTGGGGTTTGGGACTGACTCTGAAGCAGAGACGGAGTGGGGAAGGTGGGGTGTGGCGTGATCAGAGGGCAGTGTGCATGCTTTACTCCACAGCAGTGTGGAGGGCTGCAGGGCACGTGAGCCCTGAGGCGTGGCGTCAACCGCGAAGCACCTCCCTCCACTCTTCTAAGCCCTTGGCAGCTCACAAAGCGACCCAGCATAGAGCAAGCCCAGACATCAATTCCAGACAATACTTCCAGTCTAAGACACACAAGTAGTCCATAAACAAGAAAAGTACTAAAAAGACAGACACCTCTAAATTTTGATAGGTACTACCCTAGCACTTCCAGAGCAAGCGGTGCCTGCTTAGCAACAGAAATCCGAATCTCAGCGAGTCAAAGGTCACCTCCTACACTACAAACTAGCTAGTGCCTACCTCCTCTACGGAACTGACGGTCTCTAACCTCCCCTGGTGACATTCCGTGGGCCTCAGAGACTGAGGCATGAGGAAAGGCAGGATTCTCCCATAACCGAGAGAAACCGCGTCAGCAAAGCCAGAGCTCATCAGGAGTGGTGGCCTGGGTGACAGAGGAGCTAACATCCTCATTACGGGCAGCCAGCGAAGGCAGGGTTCTGAGGAAAACACAGATGCCTTTATACACTTAATGTGTACCCTTCCTTCTAACTTGGTCTTCTAGCCGGAAACACTCATCTTCTTGCAAACTTGAATCTGGAGGGATAATAAGCCAGTGAATGCAGGGCACACGTACTGTAAAATCTGAGTTCATCCTTCACTTCCAAACGTCCACGAGAACTATTCTGCTGCAGCTGAACCTCTTCTCAGTGCTTGCCTGAATGTGCATCAAAACCGATGGGTTATTTTACAGCTTGACGGTCTGACCGTGTTCAGCACCTCACTCTCACTGTTGGGGCTCCAGTCTTGCCATTTATATAAACTCAAGAAGCGTTATACAACATACATATTATCAATAAGAGTCATAAAGGGAAACACGATTTTGCTCCTTCTTCATTCCCTGATTCAGGAAATGAAGGAGCTTTACATAATGAGATGGAAAAATGAAGATTTGGGGATTCAATTTAGGGAATCAGACAAACCTAAGAACTAAATACAAATTTTCACCAGCTGCTTAAACGTACTCGACCAAAAGTGCCCGTGCAAGACCTCACCTCCTCTGCCTCTCCGTGTACTGAATCTTTGGAATCTGGTCTCTACACCCCACCAACCCAAGGTCAGAGCAGGTGGCTCCTTACACAAGAGTTCTTTGTGCACGTTATCGTATGGCTAGAGAGGAACTGGGAACCACTCTAACACAGCTCAGAGCCTTTACAACCAAGTTTTCACCAGCAATTTGATATCCTATCTTTGAAAACTAAACTTCAAGCTCTTCTGGGAGTGCCCTGAGGCCCCCCTGCCTCGCCCTCTGACAAGCAGTGATCTCACACTCTAGGAAGGGAGGAGCTTTGCCAGGAACATCTTTGCATTACCTGCCTCCTTCTCAGTTTCTGACTCCGAAGCTTCATCTTCACCTTCCTCTTCCTCTGAGCTGGAGCTGCTGGATTCTTTGTTTTCCTCCTCCCTTTCCTGGGATTTGGGTGTGTCTTCCTCATAGAGCATCTTCTCTTTGCTAAGTTAAAGACAATAATTTGAGTGTAATTCAGAAATGACAAATCATTTCTAAGTTCACGGACAATCAAGTACAAGGAGACTGAGTTTCTAAACCTCTACGTAGAAGCAACAACAGAAATATATTCAAATCCTTCTTTATATCTGCGTTCTACCGCATCCTTGGTTTTTTGCAGACTAAGGTTCAGTGTTTGACTTTAGAGTGTGACTTAAGTAGATCCAGCCTGTTCAACACACAAACAGAAAGGAGAGCATTGAATCTTGATGATGATGGAGCAGGTAAATATTCAAAAAAATCATTTCACAAATGTTTACCGAGTGCTTACTAAGGACCAGGCATCATGCCTGGTACTGGTCTGGCGGTAAGCAAAACCAACAGACGGTCCCTGAGCTCAAAGAACTGACGTTCAGGAAGCAGCTGGGACTAAGAACCGCAAGGCTAGGAAAAGAGGAATGCCGTACACAGTCTGAGTTAATTTCTAAATTTAAAACATGTTCACTCATCCTCAAGGTCTCCCCACATATCAGTGCTGTCTCTTTGCTTCTCAAACATTCCTAATGTTTAAAGATCATTTGGCTAAAATCAAACACAGAGTTCCTTTACTGTGTAAATCCTCAAGCCACCCACACACACAGCAGAGCCCACCACATTTCTAAAGCCCCAAAGATCTTACTTCTTGAAGAGTCCACTTTGCAACTTGCTGTTCAGGTCGGACTCAATGAGCTTATTCCGTGTCTCCTTTTCACTTCGAAGCTGGAAATTGGGGAAACAGAGAAAAGGGAAGAAGTCGACTATTGGTGAGAAATCAGCAGTAATGAGAAGAACTCAAAACGGTACTATCATTCTGAAGACAGGACCAACACCAAAGGGAGAGGAAAGAACTGGACAAAGAGAACACATCAGCTGGGTCTCCTTAGAAGATAACAGAGAAAAACCTCCACCCGAGGCAGAAGAGACAGACATGGTGTTAGAGCTTCAGTAAAACTGCCCCTATCAAATATCCAAACCCAACTTTCCCCAAAACCAAGCTTCTGAAGGACAAAAAGCCAGCAGGAACTTTGAAAGCATTCTTTATGATCCACGTACTGAACTAAGCTGGCACAGTTCTAAAGAAAAAACAGGCACCCAATGGGAAATAAGCCCTCAGAAAAAATCGTCTGTATCTACAGACACGTTCTAGACAAATGTCCGCACATCACTCTGCCCCAAAGTTACGCAGGGGCAGAGGTGGGCACCACGCCTAGTAGTGTAGAAACGCTATTTAGTGAAGACATTATCTACGTTCAAAACCAAACCACGCTGGGTAAAGGATACACAGGAACTCTCGAGACTATTTTTGCAGCTTCTCTGTGAGTCTAAAAATTATTTCAGAATAAAAAGTTGATAAAACAACAAAAGCTTAACTATGCAAAGTGCACATCTTATATGAGGAAGGCTGCTGCTGCTAAAGAACAGCACCAATACCGCGCTCAGACCGTCCTCGCGGCCAGGGCTCCAGCTGCTCGTCGGAGGAGACAAAGGGAACTACAGGCTGTGTTTCTGAGCTTTATACATGCCCCTTTCCCATTGAGCCTCCCCATCCTAAGGCTCTTCACCTGACCCGTCCAGACCTGAGGCTGAACACACGTGAGGTGACATACGGCTGATCTGCCCCATCGCTGAACTATGTGGTTCTTTACCTCAGGACTGCTCAAAGTTTCTCACATTCGTCCTGAGCTTGAGTTCACAGGCCTTGAGCCACAGCCCACACAAAGGAAAGCTGGTGGTTTTGTTCCGTCCTGCCCTGTTCAAACAGGAAATTCTCAAGCCCCTAATATGACTGGTCTTTATTCTCCTCTGTGAGCCCAAATTACTCATCCCCTTTATGGGCAGAAGATGTAAACCATTCACCGTTGATCTTGGTTGGCTCTTCCATCCTGCAGTCGGCACATGGTACCATGCCATGTGGTCCTCCTATGCAGCACTAAGCAGAACAGCATGTGCAACCAAACAATAAAAGCTTTAGAAGGACGACGAGGCAGAGGAGGATTGAATTCTGGAATAAGTATGGATACTGACCAAGTACTGTCCATTGCCAAATGACAGTTTTAGTTTTGTGGGTTTGTTTGCTTTTTAAGAAAGAAATATTTTCCTCTCTGTAATCAATTTACTTTAAATAAAGATGTCCTTTTATTCAATAAGGGAAAAAAAGTTATGAGATGTCCTCTAGCCTGGTACTCCTTATTTGGAAAAAACTCTGATTTGAACATACCACATTCATTTTCTAGAACTCAAGGGTAATTACCAGTTTGTTGGTGGCGTTGTTTTTACCTTTCAGCTGCTCGAAGGCTATCTTATAATGAGTAAACTCTAACAACGGTTTCGGGATATTTTCCTCTAACAGACCGATGATCCCTGAGGGGAACAATGATCGTCTCTGGAATGCAGACACATCCATCTCAGCTCTCAGCACACAGAACTAAGCAAATGACTGAGACGCCTGGTGTGCATCGCAAACTGCGACAACAGCTTTCACAGCATCAACTCACCACATTCTGCCTCTTCTGGAGCGTCTCCAAGTGTTCCACAAGACCCTCATCAGCCACATCAAATGGTGTCTGGCCCTGGCAGAGAAAAGGGCACCATGACCAGCAGGAAAAAGAAGTAGTGACCACTCGACCTGATCAGAGAACTATTCGATAGTCACTTTATGCCTCTGACCCCGACCACGGCGGCTTCCCTGACTAATCGACTCTGTTGTGATCACGCCTTCGGAGATCACAGAGGAATCAGAAGAAGAAACAGCAAACCCTTTAATATAGAGCTTTATAGTCCATAAAACAGCACTGAGGAAACCACATCATTTCTAACGCTTAGTGCCTCTTGGCAAATAATCAATTGAAATCTCTACTTGTGCCTGTCCTAAAATGGTCTGAATTGCTATGAGACAGTCAATAAGGAGCTGTTAGAAGCCTCACAAGGAGGTCCGGGCACATGCACTAAGGATTAAGTCACAGGAATCATCTCCCTTTAAGGGCGGGGGGTATCTCTTCAGGAAACATCAGCACAGTTAAGGACCGTGACCCATAATCTGAGAATGATTCCTGGGTCCAGGAGCGATGTGAGACATATACGAACGCCTACTAATTAAACAGCACGTCTCTGGATTCCTAGAAACTCAGGAGATGCGGGGATAGGCGTTCCAGGGCTTCTAAGTTGCTTCCAGGGAGGCTGGACAACACGTTCAGCCAATCTCAAGGAACTGTGTCATTAGAACATCTTTTTAAAGACTGGATGTGAATAGAGGTCAGCTACTAAAAGTCTTTGAATTCAAAAAGAAAGAAAATCTGTCATACCTCACCACAGACAGCAGAATCAGGTTTCCCCTACGCTCATTTTTGCCAAGGGCAAAGATCTTTTTTCCTGTTTGTTTGTTTCAGGGGCTTCAACATACATAGAATCAGAAGGCTAGGTCAGTGCAGTTCTATTTGACACAGCAGACACCTCGGTGTTGATAACGGGCATGGGATGGGGAGACGGCAGCACCGGGAGCAGAATCACAGCCCCAGTGATGTATACTGCTCCAGGCATTTAACAGAGACTTTAAGCCTTTTGTCTAGAGACCCTTTTAGAGGGTCAGGCTTACTAACCAGTCTGTTCCTGACATCCATGTCGCAGAGTGCTTCCGCCAGGATGGAGCAGGCCTCCTTCACTCCCCAGTGTGCAGCAGCATGGAGGGGAGTCCAGCCATCGTGATCCTGAACATTGAGTTCACAGCCAGCCTGAATCAAAAGTCTAAGAAGAAAACCACAAAGAAGAATATCCTCTAGATCACCGTTTTCTGCAAAGAGACTATCACCCAATTGACATTTCACATTTTGGCTCTGAACCACCGGGGCCCTGTGATTACTTCTGCCCCTAAGGCACAGCTCAGGTTTCATAGTTACTATACTGAGAAGCAATCACAGATAGTATTTATCAACCCTCTCCAAAAGGTCACATGGTATTTCCTAGGCACATTTATGTTACACCAATTCAAGAGAAGCATTTGGGAGGGTGTGTACCTGAGATTAACCAAAGCCTAATTCAATTAGCAAACCACACAACTCAGTTACAGGGTGTGTTTTCCACTTTCCAGTGCACAAAAGGGAAGAAGTACATATAACACAAGAACTCAGTTCTTTTTGGGGTACTTTACTTACTAGCTTCAGCTGGTCTTTCCAGGAAACATATGTTTACTGTAGACTCTCACACTTCCAACTCTGCAGAAGCCACCTGCGGGTGCTTCTCGCTAACGCTAAAGCTATAATCTAACTGCGCGCAAGGAGGAGGAAAGGTACAACTCCTCAAGCCCTAAATGGCTCTGGGCTGAATGAGGTTATCACCATGGCCTCTAGACACCTTCCAAGAAGTGAGCAGAATGTGAATGTCACTCTCAGGCAGAAACGGTGTCCCAACACACTTGCCACAGCTACTAGAAACCCCATGTTAGGTGGAATAGGAAGCAGGGGAAGAGTCTGGTGACAACTACACATACATGCTCTCAGCAACCCACGTATTGGGGAAGACTGTCAACATTAAGCACCAAGAGCTACCTAGAGCATGTGTGGATGTCAGGAAAAATGCAACAGGCAGAGTAACAGGATCAAAGAGGAAATGTGCTGAACACACTACCTGACATAAGTTTGACTACCTTACTCCAGCTGGACTCTGCACATTCAAGACAATAATTCTATATTAATGATATAGATCATTAATCTAATGAGTCCAAAGAAATTATCTTTGTCCAAAGAGGACCAAAATGCTCACAAGTCTATCTTGTATTACATATCAGAAGAGGAGGAGGTTACATGGATATTAACGATAAATCATAGAGCTGGAAGAGACCATGCAAGGTCACCTATTAGGCCAGTCTAGCTCAACCCTGTTAGCATCATACATGTCAGTGAGAAGCTAGAGGGATGGTAGGAGGGAGGGAGACCAATCATATAACAAAACACTGCATGATCACAGAGGAAAACAACAACAAAAGAAACATATCATAATTGAGATGCTAATTCACCCCCTGCTTCCAAAACCCAGTTGAACAGACTCTTGACTGATGTAAATGACAATACCTGAGGACCTCAGAGTAGCCCTTGGCAGCAGCCACATGGAGCGCTGTGGCCCCCGAGCGAGCCTGCCTCACATCCTCTATCTTCCCACTGTTGAGCCACTGGCGGGCATCCTGCAACATCTGTTGTTCCTCTTCTTTTCTTGACTGCTCTAGATCAACGCCTACAGAAGCCAGATACCAGACAGCCAGCATTACTAAAGGCCCATTTAAATCTGAGAGGATATTTCCTTTAGATTCAAAACACATCATGAATATAACTACAAGTAACAGTTCAGTCGTCAAATTAGGGTATTCATCAAACTGACTCTTCGTGTAGAAGAGCAGTGCCGTTTATACATGTTGCAGGAGTTTATCAGGTTGAACCGTCAGGTGAAACATTCTGTGATGGCAGATCCACCAAGGGAACACACCGAAAGTTGTTTTCAACTTTAAGAACATAAAGACCACAGGGTACACTATTTTTATATTATACTATTTGTACAAAGCTATACATTTCAAAGTCATGTTCCACCATTTCAGTTTCCCAACAGTCCTTTGAGGTAGCTGGAACAGATATTACTATTCCCATTTAACAGATGAGGAAATAAACACAGAAAGGTTAGGTGCCTTGCTCAAGGCCACAAAATACATCAGAGCTGTCACAAGAACTCTGCCACCCTGGGTCCCCGTCTGTGGCTCTTGTCCACTCACTACACCATAAGACTGTTATCAAAAATCTTGGTGTCAGGTATCACATACTTTAAAAAATAAACTACCTCTAAAGTTCATCTGCATATGTAGGGAAATCCCCCAACCTGAAGTTCGATCATCTAGAGCAGATGAGTAGGTGAGGCACAGTCAAAACTTTCAAGGGAAAGCAGACTGTGTTCCCCTTCAAAGCGTCATGGAGGCTCTCCAAGGGCTCCCCCCTTTAGCCGGCAGCTCTCCTACATCCGCGCCAGTGGAAAGGGGCTGGGGTGGGGCATTCCCCACCATACAGAAAAAGGAATGTCTTAAATGCAAACGTATCCATCCAGAGAGCTTCATACTCATTAGCAGGCTTTATATGTGCCTGGTCTGCTCCCTTCCAGCTCACGTCTTAAATGGAACCTGTGAACTACCTAAGGATTATCTGTCTGACTTGGGGAGATGGATGGGGTGAAAGAGTAATCAATTGATTTTATTTCTTTTTTTCCTCCAGCTTTATTGAGATACAACTGACATATAACGTGTAAGTTAAAGATGTACAACACGTTGATCTGACACACTTATATACTGCAAAATGATTTCCACAGTAGAGCTAGTTAACATCTCCATCACTTCACGTAATTACCACTTCTTCCTTGTGGTTAGAACATTTAAGATCCCTTAGCAACTTTCAAGCATATGATACAGTATTGTTAACTATAACACCACGCTATACATAGGATTCCCAGAACTTACTCATAACCGAAGTTTGTACCCTTTGACCAACATCTCCCCATATCTCTCACACCCTGAAAACCACCTGTGTCTAAGAGTTCAGCTTTTTTAGATTCCACATAATAGTGATATCACACAGTATTTGTCTTTCTCTGACTTATTTCACTTAGCCTAATGCCCTCAAGTCGTATATAGCAGGATCAAGTAATGCCCTACTGTCGTATATAGCACGATTTCTTCTTTCTCATGGCTGAATATTATTTATTCAAATACATACATACATATATATACACACACACCCCTACACACACCACATCTTCTTTATCCATTCATCCATAAACTGACACTTAGGTTGTTTCCATGTCTTGGCTATGGTGAATAATGCTGCATTAAACATGGGAGTGTAGATATCTCTTTGAGATCCTGATTTCAGTTCTTTGGGATAAATACCCAGAAGTGGGATTGCTGGATTGTACAGTAGTTCTACTTTTAATTTTTTGAAGAAACTCCACACTCTTTTCCACAGTGGCTGTACCCACTTACATTCTCACCAACCATGCACAAGAGTTCTCTTTTCTCCACATCCTCACCAACACTTATTTCTTGTCTTTTCAATGATAGCCATTCTAACAGGAAGGGGGTAACATCTCATTTTGGTTTTGATTTGCATTTCCCTGATGATTAGAGATGTTGAGCACCTTTTCCTGTACCTGTCGGTCAACTGTATGTCTTCCCTGGAAAAATGTCTATTCAGAGCCTCTGCATTTTTTTTTTTTTTTTTTGAGGAAGATTAGCCCTGAGCCAACATCTGCCACCAATCCTCTTTTTTTTTTTTTTTGCTGAGGAAGACTGGCCCTGAACTAACATCCATGCCCAACTTCCGCTACTTTATATGTGGGATGCCTGCCACAGCATGGCTTGATAAGCAGTGCACAGGTCCACACCCAGGATCCAAACCAGTGAACCCTGGGCTGCCAAAGCGGAATGTGTGAACTTAACTGCTGTGCCACCAGGCCAGTCCCTCTCTGCCCATTTTTTAAATAGACTGTTTTCTGCTGTTGAGTTGTATGAGTTCCTTATATATTTTAGATACTGACCCCTTATCAGATATATGATTTGCAAATATTTTCTCCCACTCTATAGGATGCCTTTTCATTTTGTTGATTATTTCTTTTGCTCTGCAGAAGCCTTTTAGTTTGATGTAGTCTCACTTATTTTTGCCTTTGTTGCTTGTGCTTTTGGTGTCATATACAAAAAACTATTGTCAAGATGAATATCGAGGAGGTTTTACCCTATGTTTTCTTCTAGAAGTTTTATAGTTTCAGGTCTTATGCTCCAGTCTTGACTCCATTTTGGGTTAATTTTTGTGAGTGTTGTAAGATAGGGGTCCAATTTCATTCTTCTGCATGTGATTATCCAGTTTTCCCAACACTTTTTATTAAAGAGACTACTCCTTCCCTATTGAATGTTCTTGGCTCTCTTGTTCAAATATTAGTTGATTGTATATTTGAGGGTTCATTTCTGGGCTCCCCACTCTGTTCCATTGGTGTATGTGTCTATTTTTAGGCCAGTACCATACTGTTTTGATCATTATAGCTTTGTACTATAGTTTGTAACCAGGAAGTGTGATGCCTCTAGCTTTGCTGTTTTTTCTTGGGATTGCTTTGTCTATTTGGGGTCTTTTGTGGTTCCACACAAATGTTAGCATTGTTCTTTCTATTTTTGTGAAAAATGCCAGTGGAATTTTGATAGAGACTGCATTGATGAAAAAAATCTGCCCCATTTGCTTGGGTTTTCTCTCTTTCCCTCTCTCTCTCTCTCTCTCCCTCCCCAATACACTGTGGTATTTCATTCCTCAAGACTTCAGCATACATCTCTTAGACATAAAGATGCAAAGATCATCTCCTACATAACCAGGATGCCATCATTATGGCTAAACTAGTTAAGAATAACTCCATAAGTCATCTAATATACAGTCCATATGAAAATTTCCCCAATTATGGCAAAAATATTCCTTGAAAAGGCTAATAAAATAGATATCTGGCAAGTCTGAGGAATAAAAAAAAAGCTCAGTAAAAAATAAACTATATTGAGAATGAAAAAAGTACTTAACTAGACATATACACTTGAGATATAAAGAACATAACAGAATATTATGAGGAACTCTATGATAATAAGTTTGGCAACGTCAATAAAACGGAAAATTTTGTATAAAAATAAAATTTTATACTTCAAGAGAAACATAAATGCTTCATTAACCTAGTAACTACTGAAAAAATGGAATTGGTTATAAAAATCTCCCCTATCCCTGAAAAATTTTGCGGCTCAAAAAATTTCACTAAACTTTCAAGGAACAGATAGTCCCTATTTTATACAAATTACTCCAGAATCTTAAATTAGAGTGAAAGTTTCCCAAACCCTTTTATAAGGGTCACATAACCTCAATACAAACTGATGGAAGAAAGTAATAAAAGACAATCATGGACCAAGCTTAACTTAGAAACAAACATCATAAATAAAATATTAACTAATAACTTGAGGCCAGCAATGTGTTTTAAAATAACAGGCTATGCATGCGCAATCTTTATTCCAGAAATGCAGTTTTAGAGGTAGAAAAACATCTATCAATATAATTAAAGAAAAAAAGGAAAATGATGTTATCTTCATGTATGATGAAAGGCTGTTGAAAAAAATCATCGCCCGCTCATTTTATTAAAAAAAATAGCAGAGTAAGAATAGAACGAAACTCCCATAAAGCAATAAAGACTATCCCCAAAATGCTACAGCAAACACACCTGAACACAACTGTAGAAGCCCTCCGGACTCAGTCTCGGAAGAAGAGAAAGTCTTCTGCACTCAGGAGCAACAGCACAGACCACACACTGCGCCTGCCAGAGTCCCTCGACTGCCTCACTCTTCTCTCTCTTGGTTAACGTCACCTTTGAGCTGAGCTGTCCAAACACTTCAAGGTTAGACGAAATACCCGGGGCAGTGACAGAGACAGCGTGACCTGTACACCTTTGCTGGCCTCAGGTCCCTCTGTCCCCACCGTCCCGCTCCCTGAGCTGTCAGTTCCCAAGAGAGTATTAGCACTTTCACCTGTGCCTCGGGTTCTCTTTCCCAGAGGAGCGATGCCAACACACAAACCAGGAAAGTCACTTTATTTTGATAATGTGAGATTCCTAAATCACTTAATCCTAAAGAACAAGACAGTCAATGGAACCCAAACACTCATACAGGGAGCTACCTTGCCCAAGGAATCACCCACTCCCCGGGTCAGCCTGCACCTGGTGACCAGTTAGTGTGGGGTAAAAAAGCCCAGTTCCCTTACCTCAGTGGGAACTCTGAAGCGAAGTGCTCCCTGTGAGGCTGGCTGATGTTTCTGCTGCCTAAAATAGCTGAATTGAGGAATTTATCTACATAAGATAGTCATAAATTGTTGAAGCGGAGTAATGGTACGTGGAAGTTCATTGTACTTTTGTCTACTTTTGTATGTTTTAAATTCTAATAATAAAAAGAATTATTTTTATAGTAAAAAAAGAAATTTATCTAGAAATTTAATATTATCAAGGTTACCTCTAAAATGACAAAAAAGAGTTAATTTAAAGAAAATTTAAGATGATAAAAAGGAATAAAAAGTTGACTTAAACATGATAAATAGTACATCTATAAAACTAATCTGATAAATTAAAGAAATAAAAATATAAGAACATTCCTTAGTGTTTGGGAATAACCACCCAAAGAATTTTAAAAGCGCTCCAGCAGTGTCAGGTTCAGGAAGCATTTGAAGGTTTTTCCAGACTTCAGCCATTCCTGGAGGTCATACCTCACCCCACGTCATCACCCATTTCACATGGTATCTGGCTCCACTCCCCTGCCATGCATGTACCACGTTTTATTCCTATTTCCCACAAGAGTTAAACTCCGTGGTCAATTTGTTTCCATTCCCAAAGTCCAGTAGGGCTTCAGCTTCAGAACCTATTCCCCAGTTTGTGTTTCCTTTCTGTTTCTAGTCCACAGACATGTTTATCAGTTTTGTTAACTGTTTTTTTTAATCTCTTAATTGCTAGATGTTTACACAAGGGACAGGGAGGTTTATGGGAACCCACACTGTCATCTACTGGAAATCCATAAAAATATAAGCTTTTCAAAAACATATGTGCCATTATCCATGCATTTGGCAGTATAAAGGAAAACCCAGCTCAAAGCCACTCTAGCTATTGGAGCCACCATCCCACATTTGCACAAGTTCAGAGAAGGGAGGGCTTGCATGTGGATCCATCTAGCAGTTACATAGCATCATCAGGGACTGAAGGGTCTTAATCTCTCCTCTCCACGTGCACAGTACAGTCAGTTTGAAGCTGGCTCCCCCCCAGGTCACAGGATGGGTGCCAGGTGTAAATGAGGATCCACATGGATTGATTCACAGCTGGCAAGGAGAGGGGCATTCCTATGGTTCTTCTTGGTGTGAAGAACCCTCTTTCCATGGACAAGCCTCCATGAACTTTTCCTTACACCTCATCAGTCTAAACTGTACCAATCTCTAGAAAGAAACATGATTGATAATTAAGGCCAGTGATTCTCAAATTATAGTGCCAGGGACCACTGAAATCATTTCAGGGGTTCTGTGCAATCAAAACTATTTTCACACACAAGATGAAAAACCCTAAAAGACAGCCCAGACTACCTGGCATATAATGAATCTCACAGACAGCAGCTGTTCATGGTTGTGACTGTCTAAGAGACAGCGCGTAATCCATAAAGTCATAGGAATACCGAGCACTAATAAGAGAAACGAGGCCTGAAAAGACAAAAATCACCTTTTCATCTCTTCTTGTGAACTAGGAACTATCTCCAGATTGAGAAACAAAAGAGATTCCTGAAAACCAGAAGAACTCAGTCACTTATTTCAAAGTGAAATAAGATTTAAACCATAAATATCTTTTCCCCTCAGCTTTGAGATCTAATTCATATAAAACACTGTGGAAGTCTGAGGTGTACAATGCAGTGATTTTATATATAGTCATGTGTCACTTGACCATGGGGGTACATTCTGAGAAATATGCCATTAGAGGATGCTGTCATGTGAACATCACAGAGTGCACTTACACAGACCCACATGGTGTGGCCTACTACACACCTAGGCTCTATGGTACCAACCTTATGGGACCACCATCATATGCGTGGTCTGCCATTGACCAAAGCATCGTTACGTGGTGCATGACTATATATACATATGTATATTGCAAAATGATTACCACAATAAGGTTGTTAATACATCCATCACTTCATCTAGTTATAATTTTGAGAGTGTGTGGTGACAGCTTTTTAAATCTATTCTCTTAGCGACTTTCAAATATACAATACCATATTTTTAACCACAGTAACCATGCTGTGCATCTCCAGAACTTATTCATCTTATAACTGGAAGTTTGTGCCTTTGGACTACCTTCACCCATTCCCTCCACCCATCCCCATTCCCACCTGCCATCCTCACCCCCTATCCCTGGCAACCACCAATCTGTTCTCTGTTTATATGACTTCAGTTTTTTTAGATTTCACATATCAGTGAGATCATATGGTATTTGTCTTTCTCTGACTTATTTCACTTAGCATAATGCTCTCAATGTTCATCCATGTTGTCCCAAATGGCAACTGCCTTCCTTTTTGTGGAATAATATTCACACACACACACACATTCCTTATCTATTCATCCGTCAACAGACAGTTAGGCTGTTTCCACGTGTTGGTAAACTTTGATGCAATGAACATGGGCGTGCAGATATCTCTTCAAGATAGTGATTATATTTCCTTCTTATGCATATCCCGAAGTAGAACTGCTGGATCATATGGTAGTTCTATTTCTAATTTTTTGAGGACCCTCCATACTGTTTTTCACAGAAGCTGCACCAGGTTACACTCCCACCAGTAGTACACAAGGGTTCCCTTACCTCCACATATTCACCAGTATTTACCTTTTGTTTTTTTGATAATAGCCATCCTAACAGGTGTGAGGTGATATCTCATTGTGGTTTTGATTTGCATTTCCCTGATGATCAGTGATGTTGAGCACCTTTTCACGTACTTGTCGGCCATTTGAATATCTTCTTTGGAAAAGCGTCTATTTAGGTCCTTTGCTCAGTTTTTAATTGGCTTATTTGGGCTTTTCACTACTGAGTTGTATGAGTTCCTTACACAGCTTGGAGACTAACCCTCTGCCAGGCATGTGGTTTGCAGACATTCTCTCCCACTTCACATGCTGCCTTTTCATTGTGTTGATTGTTTCTTGCGCTGTGCAGAAGCTTCTTAGTTCATGTAGTCTCACTCGTTGACTTCTGCTTTTGTTGCTTGTGGTTTGGGGTCACATCCTAAAATCCTTACGAAGATCAATGTCAAGGAGCTTTTTCCCTATGTTTTCTTTTAAGAGTTTGATGGTTTCAGGTCTTACATTTAAGTCTTTAAACAATTTTTAGTTGATTTTGTGTATGGTATGAGCTAGGAGTCCACTTCCATTTTTTTGCAGGTAAATATCCAATTTTCCCAGCACCATTTATTGAAGAGACTATCTTTTCCCCATTGAGTATCCTTGGCTCCCTTGTCAAGTATTAGTTGACTGTATATGCATGGGTTTATTTCCAGGCTCTCTATTCTATTCCATTGGTCTAGGTGTCTATTTTTATGGCAGCACCACTTTCAGCTCTCATCAAGAGAAAACACACAAAGTCATACAGATTTTGGCAAAACTCAAATTTACACCGTATCTCATCCTTTCTTTGGGCTTTACAATGTGTAGCAAAATCCAACACCATGTACACGTGGTAAGAAATGTTCATGCTCCTCATCAGTGTAATTTGTATCATCAAAGAATAATCAGTTCACTCCTAAATATACAATGGGTATACACCCTCAGAATGGCAGAGATAAGGAATGACTGGTCATCCTTTTGTCATGTGGCCTATTTTCACGTGAGTTATTAAGATACATGATGTTGATAATCGATGACTAATCCTGTGCAGACAGATCTAACCCTCCCCTATCATATGATAATGAAAAGCTCCATACAGCAAATGGATTATTTTCTATAAGTGGAAACATCTGAGAGTCTCTCCTGGCCGCCCCCCGCCCCCCAATGCCTTAGGTTACCTTGCTTCTTCACTTGCTCCAGAAGAAGATCCTTCATGGCAGGCTCTTCCGCAAGGTCAGAGGGGACTTCACCTTCGCTATTTACAATACCCACATCAGCTCCATGGTTAATGAAATACCTGTGCAGACACAATCCAGGATCAATAATATCCCTGTTCAGTCTAATATCAACATACACTCGTGCATTTGGGGTTCGATACAGAGCAAGGCGTCTATTTTGGGGTTTTAAATATAGTCCCAGATAAAGTGTTCAAATTATTAATTTCTAATTCCATTAGCCTTCAAAAATTAGGAGTGGAAGCTCCTCTATTCCCTGACAAGAGCAACGCCAACCAACAGGACTTCTTGGGGCCGGCCCAAGGCCAAGTGGTAAAGTTCGTGTGTCCGCTTCGGCGGCCCAAGGTTTCGCCGGTTCAAATCCTGGGTGCGGATATGGTACCACTCATCAAGCCATGCTGAGGCGCCATCCCACATGTCACAAATAGAAGGACCCACAACTAAGAATATACAACTATGTACCATACCGGGGTTGGGGGGAGGGAGTGGGAGGGTTGGAGAGGAAAAGGAAAAGAATTAAAATCTTAAAAAAAATAGGATTTCTTTCACACGCATATTCCTAACCACCACCCTCTCACTCCCAGCGGATAGCAAGAGACTTTCATCTACCATCGCTGAGGTCCAAACACAGGTTCCCAAAAGGACTTACTACACCTGTAACACTGAGAATGAGAGTCCTTAAAAGACACGGAAACAAGTAATTCTCACGAAAACCTCCCCAACGCCACATCACAGTACATTAAGTAGTGCTGTGGTGTGAAAAGAAAAGGATGAACTAAAATTGCAGGAATCTGCCTAAATTATGCCTCCACAGAACTCTCCCTTCAACCAACCATCTACGTGAAATCTACAGACTAAGAGGAGACTGAATCACTGAAGAAATCAACAGTTAGATTCTATATCAAAATACAACACTTGATCCTGAAGAAGAAAGGTCTGATCATTTCAACACCTGACATGGATCCTTTCTAATTTTTAAAGTACTTTCACATAAACTTATAGAATGAGTCTTAGAGAATTTTATGAAGCAGGCAACGTGGGTAGTATTACCTCCACTTGAAGAAACTGAGGGTCCTACATACTGACTAATTTTCTTAAGATTGCATAGGTGGCCAATGGCAGACACTTTTAATCTCAAGTCTAGTTCATCTAAACTAGTTGATATAGCTCATCTTTTCACTAGATCAAGTTACTTTTGGGCCAATGAGAATCCCAATAATCCTGGGAGCTCTATCAAATACTTAAAAGTATTTAAAAGGAAAAGAATAACTACTTACATTAGATTTCAACCATTCAACAATTCAGTAAACATTTACTGGCCCCCTACTATATTTAAGCTACTATGTTATAGACACTGTAGGAGATTTTAAAAAGATAATCCATATATGCCCACTGTATTCAAGGAGCTGGCAGAGGAGAAAGAATCAACAAAGACTAGATTAAGACCATGTTTTTGCTTTCTCATTGCCTAGTACCTAATATAATAGAGCCTAAATAAATGTTTCAAATTTACAGATCAATTCCACATATATAAAGGGCAAAGGCATTCACAATCCATCTAATTTTTAGCTGTCCCCTCCCCCTCCTTCCCTTCGTTCACAGTCTCAGAGGAAGACAGACTTTCGATTCTAAGGCTCACTCCCTCTCTGTATTCTTATTCCACTGAGCACCAGTCCTCTGTCCATCAACTGCCCCTTCGTTTCCACATGAGCAATAGCTCCTCTCTTCCGGTTCCCTCCTTCAGGCCCAAGGAGCATTCAACTACACCCCCCACCCTGAGAAATCAAAATGCAACTAATATACACAGTTAGCACCCAATAAATGCTGCCTGGATTGAACTATACCCTATACTCTAATCAAACTGAACCTCTTACTGTTCCCAAACATGTCCCACTTTCACCCAGCTCTCTTCCACAGCTCAAGCAGCTTCCTCCAACTGGATGAAACACACTCCCCTTCTCTCCCTTCTAGAAACTTTTCATATCTTTCAAGGTCCATTTAAAATGGAGCCTTTGCTTCATGAAGACTTTGCCTGTCCTCGTCAAGTGAATTTTCTCTCGTTTCTTTACTCCACTCTTCCCTCCCTCCCCGAGCACTAACTCTGGACCTCCGTCATGACACACACTGTATCTCGACACAGCCGCCCCACCAGGCGGAAAGCCACTTTAGGGCAACAACCGTGTCTTCCCCCAACTGTCATTGCCCCAACATCTGACACTTCCTCTTTTCTCTCGGCACTCCACAAATATTGCCTGAAATAAATGAAACACCTTAACCACTCTGCTCTGACACCTATTCCGTCCCTTACTGGATCAGGCACAACGTCACTTGGGTAGACAGGCTCCTGTTTTTCCCTTTTCTGACATGTTCTTAGGCTCATGATCAAGAAGACTCATTTCTAGAAAGTGATCTGGCTTGCCATAAATCAGAAAGCGATTATTGTTAAGTTAAGGCTACCTTCTTAAGCCATTTTTAGGGGGAAAAAAGGGAAAAATCTCTTTAGATTTACACTTTTCCCTGAATAAGAATAAATATCAACCTATGAAGTAATATTTACTTTACCCCTGAGAATCTTTATAGTTACCCAGTGGCTCAGAAATGTCCATTAGCTCAACGACTATGCCCCTAGAAAATAAAGCCTTCCTAACCCATCACTGATCTTAGGTCTTTTTGCTACTCCTCTAAGGGAGGAAGAGAGAAAATGAAATGCGTTAAAAACTCAGAATAAATTAGCATCCCAGTAAACTATAAAGTCAAATTAAATGCTGTGCCCTTGGGTCGATCTGCTGCTTCTATGTTCAACACATATTGGGAATAAGAATATAAAACATGTAGCTAACTAAGCAATAAGCCTGAAGTCAAATTAAAATGAGGAAAAAACAGCCTCTAAACCTCTTTTTAAACGTATATCCTACTGAGTTTAAAAATGAGACAGGAAAGGTCATCACGAACCAGGAACTAGCAGGCACTGGGATTCTTCCTGGAAAGCCGGTTTGCCTTTTTCTTCATTCCCACTCCCTTCAAATTTAGAATTCCTAATGACTCTGGGAATAAGAGTGCAAAGTTTAAGATTTTTAAGATACAAAAAGAAAAGGACAAAATGGCCAACGGCTGATCTTATCTAACACTGTTGGCAGACCCAGAGGTAAAGCAACCAAAATGAACAAAGCAGGCAAGGAGGCTCTTTCCATGGCATGGAGAACACCACTACATGCTGCAAACAAAACACAACGATGGGAAGGTCAAACCCCGTCTAATAAGACAAGCGTAATGACTGATAAATTTGAAAAGGCCATCCCTACACCACCCCATTCCCACAACGGGTTCTGGTCTGGATCATCTCTCTCCTGGTCAGATCTTCATACGCCTAATTAGTAATCATTGTATAAGGAAATAGTAACTCTCAGCGATCCATTTCATTCAAGGTAATATTTATTTAGGCAAGAGATTGTTAAAGTTTGAACTTATTTCCAAAGGAACTGTGTCCATCCATAAGAAGAATCAGAGAAACCATTGTGAAAAAGTGTTTATAATCATTCTCTGTACTCAGCTTCACAAAGGGAAGAAAAACAGACTCCATGGACGATGCCAACACAAGTGACCCCGATTCTAAGCATGAGCTCTGCTTGTTACCTTTCAACGGAAAAAAGGGGAAATCTTTGAATGTTACAAGATTCGGTAGCCAAAAATCACAAACGAGCCACCTGAACAAATAATCAAGTATCAATAACAAGGGGCTAATATGTTCTGTAAATGTTTCTTAGATAAATTTTTAAAGTAAACATCGAAATCTATGGGGAGGCTGCCTTGACTCTGAGGCATCGGAATGCTGGCAGTGGGGGTGAGGCTGAGAACCAGGGCCTTTCCCGTGAGACTCTGAAAAGGAGGTGCCCCGGGGATGAAGAGACGACTGACTTTTACTGAATGAGAACAGAGTGAAGAACCAAGACGGAGGAAAAGGCACTGCTCATTTCTGTTGGCTTTCGGGCCAATCCAGCCGTCCACTCTTTGAATAAGCTGAACGCGAGTGCTGCTGCCTGCTGTTCCCCTGGCTCCGAAGCCCGCTCTGTCTGCTTCTCCCACTGAGCTTCCCTGGCCCACAGCAGGCCAGAGACACAGGCTCTCCCCCAAGAACCCGGGCAAACCTCTACACAGCGGCCAGCGTGGCTCCCCAGGCAGTCTGCTGAATAAGAGAGATGTAATGGAGGGCTAATCACATTAAAAAGGGCCTTAAAACCAGCAATCTGATTTTCCAAGGGCCACAGAACACCATGATTTCATATAGGGAATTTACCTTACCAATCTAAATTTACCCTCCTCTAGAATACACCCAGTTGCCTCATTTTAAAGATGTTTCAACTGCCAAATCTCTTTCCTATTTAAAAATAATCTGCCTGATCATTCCTTCATTCAACAGACATTTATTTAGTACCTCTTATGCCCCAGACACCACGTGGTCAGGATTGTTCTGCCCAAGGGAGGGGCAACTAGCTGTCATGGGGGTTAGCAGCTACGTGTGTCTTGATAAACACCACTCGCTACCGTGAGAGCACATGCCGATCCCTGCCTCTGCTCTGTCCCATACACACAGGCTCACTCCTGCCATCAGCCACACGAGCACTGTGATCAGCGGGCCAGGCATGCTCCACCTTAATTTGTACTAAGCACTGATTTTTTTTAAAACAATAAGACAGGTTTACAAAGAAGTCCAGAAAAAATCCCCAGGTCTGCCTACATCTGTGCCTAGTTCTTAGTTGCTCAAAAAGTGAACCCAGACAGTACCACAGACGGAAGCCACCTCTGCATATCTCAACAGATACAAATTACCTAAAAATAGAAGCAAACAAAAATTTCAACTAAAAAATGTTGGATTTAGGGGCTGGCCCCGTGGCCCAGTGGTTAAGTTTGCGTGCTCCGCTGCAGGCGGCCCAGTGTTTCATTGGTTCGAATCCTGGGCGCGGACATGGCACTGCTCATCAAACCACGCCGAGGCAGCGTCCCACATGCCACAACTAGAAGGACCTACAACGAAGAATACACAACTGTGTACTGGGGGGCTTTGGGGAGAAAAAGGAAAAAAATAAAATCTTTAAAAAAAAATGGTGGATTTAGCAACCACATAACACATATTATCAATTATTCCTTAAAAATAATTCAACTTCTTGCTTTTACAATTTGCAATAAAGAGAGATTATAACTCTTTATGAAATTCAAATTCTTAAGAGCAGAAGAGGGCCAGCCCCGTGGCACAGTGGTTAAGTTTGTGTGCTCTGCTTAGGTGGCCCAGAGTTCGCCAGTTCAGATCCTGGGTGCGGACCTACGCAAGCCAGGCTGCGGCAGCATCCCATACAGAAGAACCAGAACTAGAAAGACCTGCAACCAGGATATACAAGACGTACTGGGGCTTTGGGAGGGGGAGAACAAGGGGAAGATTGCCAACAGATGTTAGCTCAGGGCCCATCTTCCAAAAATAAAAAAATACAACGAGCAGAAGAGAAATGAAGTCTATTGCTACAAAGAAGGCAAACCCACAGAGACTCACTCTGCTATGTTGAGATAGCCACAGGAAGCTGCTGCATGAAGGGGGGTCCAGCCCTCGTTGTCCTGCTGGTTTACATTGGCTTTGTTCTCCACCAGAAACTTCACCATGTCCAAATTTTCATCAATACAGGCCTGGAAAGAAAATTCCATCCATTTACTCAACAAGCGCTTACTGAGTTCTACCACGTGCCAGCCACTGCTCTGGGCACTGACAACGCAGCAGTTCTGACGACATATTAACTTGTATTTCTTGCACACTGATACAAGTGTCCAGAGCATGCCCTCTAAGCTTTGTGGTCTTACACAAACCCCCAAATTGTCTCCAGGTGTCAACACCTCAGCTGTGAAACAGGTACAATGATATTATCTTCTGTACAGTATATTAGGATTAATTGTGAAAGTGATTTCTAAAGAACTAAAATGCGTGAGCTGTTTCATCGTTATTATAATGTTGGAAACCACTAATTTGCTTATGAATTTTAAAAGAAAATAGTCACAGAGGATCAAAAGCAATTTCTCAGTGGGAAGTTGTAGCTTAAGATTCTAGTCGCTCAACAATCCCTGCTTTGGTGAGAAAGGATGAGGTGACCACTTCAGACTGAAGCGTGTTCTTTCTTTTCACGTATTTTCTGAACGGCTCCAAACAATACGGCAAAGCATGTTTGCAATTATGGATGGGTAGGGAGCCCCAGCCGCCCACCGCGCAGTGACACTTAGGAGAAAGCAGAGGAGCTCTCTGAACAGAGGCTTCAAACCCACGAAAAGCCTAAAAGAAACACTCACACAGAGCAAAGAGACCTGCAAAGACCAAAGAGCTGTCTTAACATATCTGCAGAGTAAAAAGATTGATAAAGGTAATCATTATCAAGGCTTAGGAGGTTCCAAAACAGCTGGGATAACTCAGGACCTAAAAGCAAGTAAGGGGGCCGGGCCAGTGGCGCAGAGGTTAAGTTTGCATGTTCTGCTTCGGTGGCCCGGGGTTCATCAGTTCAGATCCTGGGTGCAGACATGGCACTGCTTGGCAAGTCATGCTGTAGCAGGCATCCCACATATAAAGTAGAGGAAGGTGGGCACGGATCTTAGCTCAGGGCCACTCTTCCTCAGCAAGAAGAGGAGGATTGGCAGATGTTAGCTCAGGGCTAATCTTCCTAAAAATAAATAAATAAATAAAAGCAAGTAACAATCCTTTTTTAAATGTCTTTTAATCCTCTCCTTTTCAGAAAAAAAAAAGGTTAAAACTTAAGCTGAGAAGCAGTTATCCAGATCAAAAAGGTTTCTATGATCATATGAAGACATTATTTGCTGACGTTTGCACTGAGGATGCACGGGCGTGGCGGGTAGGGTGCTGGAGCCTCAGCCTGAACCAAGGTGGCGCATCCAAGGAGACCAGCACTGTATTCTTCTCCCCACGCACTGGCAGTTAAAAAAGCCAGTTTCACCAAGAATGACCTTGAGGAAGCAGTAAAAATTATTGATTTTATTAAATATCAATCCTTGATTGCATGCCTTTCAACAGGGAGTGACTGAACAGGCAGCACGGATAACGCCCGCCGCTGCGCTGGGCACAGGCATCTCGAAGGGGATGCACCGCAGCCATCTCACGGGCAAGAGGAGCCAGCTGCTTTTCTCATGGAATGCGACTTTTACTCAAAAGAACCGACAAATTATGATTATTAAGACTTAAAAATGAACAAGGTGAGCCTGTCACTTCAAAGACAATAACTGGTATTTGTTGCCAATGATAAAATTGGACCAGCCAAGTGGAATTAGCATTTTGGGAAACATCCATCCCATGAGCTTGACAGCCTCCCACTGCTGTCTTCACTGATGAGATCAGCGGGACCACCACCCAGTGGGATCAGCTCAACACAATGAATGTCTTAACATTTGGGAGATCTGCATAAGACAATGAAGCCATGTTTTCCAAATAATCAAGGGCCCTGTGCTAGAATCACGCATGGGCAAAAGATTCATTCAACGTGTCAGTCAGACCACCAGATTTTAACATCATAAAGTAAGAACAGGCCACGAAGTGGGCTCAGATTGCACACTGCAACTAACATGTAAGAAACTACAGCTTTTGGAGTTTTAGCACAGCATCCAAGAAGGATATCCACAATTGTCTCATAGCCTACTAAATACTCCTCCCTTTTTCAAACATGGATCTAGATGAGGCCAGATTTCCTTTATATACTTGAATCAAAACAACATATCACAGCAGATTGAATGCAGACATTAAGAGAGATTTTTACAAATGTAAAACAATGCCATTCTTCTCATTATTTTTTGTTTTTGAAAGTATATAGTTATTTTCAATTAAAACACGTGATTTACATTACCATGTAATAGGTTATTGCTATTTTAAATGAATAAGTACATGTTTTTAAATTTCTCGGTAATATACAATAACCCATATGAACAAATGTTCTTTGGAGTCCTGAATAAATTTCTTGAGTGTAAAGGAATCCTGACAGCAAACAGTTTGAAAACCACCATCTTCAATCAAACATACCAAGAGATATTTTGTGGTCAGAACGAGCAACTGTTTAAATACGAAGCTGAGCGAAGAATTCAAGTCAGAAATCTTCTCTTAAGTAGTACATATCTTCACGAGAGAACTAATGGGAACGCCCTCTAGAGTTCAGAGGTAAAACTCACGTCAATCCTGCCATGAAGCAGGGGATGGATGAAAAAAGGCTGATTCACTTTAGACGAAAATTTAATTAGGTAACACTGGTTATAAATGTCATCTTTGTTCATTTTTTCCTAAACCATTGGATACTCTTTTTACAACTACTGAGTTAGCTACACATACCTGCCTAGATTTGATTTGCTCAGTATAATATATCCCTCCACCCTGACCATTTGAGGCCAGATGACTTTTACAACCAATATTGATAATGGTCTCTTCAAGAAGTTGCTCCAAAAACTACATTTCTTCTATGGCTTATGAACTTCCACAATCATTCCCCATTTACTCTTTACTTCTTCGCCATGTGAAATATTTCATAAATATTCATAATATTTTAAAATATTTCATAATAATGCTTATCACTAAATTTCTCATCTGTTGCCTGTCCACCAGTCTGCAATCCCATAGGGCAAGATTTAGCCAACTCACTGCAGAGAACCTCACTAAAAACTGTTAATAAAGATGTCTATGTGAAACGATGGAAGGGGGTACTTTTCAACAAGGTAGTGAAGTCCAAGGAGAAGAAAGTGCTTTAGAGGTTAAGTACACAGCCCACGTAATAATCAACTCCTGTATCCAGAAGATCAAATGTGCCATCTTAACCTGTGTTAAGCAGCTGGGTCAACTGCTTCTTGCTTGGTTGCAAAATTTCTTTGGCTCTGAAAGAAGAACAGTCTAAAAGCTTAGTTCCAGTAGCTATGCCACCCCCAGGCAGATTTTTGGAAGCCAGTGTTTTCAAGATCACTCTTTGTCCTTTCAAGATGACACCAGCCAAATTCCAGAGGGCCTAAAATAAGCCCAGCTAGTCCAGGTATCAAAGGGGAAGAAACCTATTTTTTTCTCTTGCCTTCCATCTTACTTCTCTCCCTTCCTTTTCTTAATCTCTTTCACCCCATCATGACTTTAGTTCTCTTCCTTTTCAGCTTCATGATATTTTTGTCTATGAATCTCAAATCCTTGATACAGTATTTTTATAAGAATGACACTGTGAGGACGTTTGAAAGAACAACAACAAGCTGGCCTAATCTGCAATGTAATTTGGCAGATCATCAACCTCCAAATAATCATCTCAGAGAAAATAAAGCAGGCCAATTGTCCAATCATCCCCTACATCCTCCACAAAGAGGACAGTACATTGTTGAAAGCATCACCTCTGGAGTCAGACAGATCCGAGTCTGCATACCAGCTCTGCCAATGCGTATAATCTCGAGTGAGGGATGTAACCTCAGCGTTGGTGCACTCATTGACAGCACGCGAATACCACCTACCCCATAGAATTTCGTGAGGATTAAAGGAGACACACCTTGGAACGGTGCCTGGCACTGCTGTTGTTTTCAAGCCAACAGTTTAACAAATACCAACTTCCCCAGGAAAAAGCACAAACTGTACCTACTCCTCACCCATCACTGCTCTCCCCACCTCCAGTATCTTATGGGAGGAAGGCGCTTTGGTTAAAAATGTCTTCGAACTAGCAAGATTTGGAGCTTGTCTGTTAAATATGACTTCAGAAAATTCCCTAACGTCCAGGATCCTGCGGGTTCCTAAATTCAGGAGCCATGTGAATAAAAGAGCAGGTACCACGGTTAAGCTGAAGGAGAATCATCCTGGAGAGACTCATCAACAGAGTCGTAGGAATTCACTCCAGGAAACATCTCGGAGTCACTGTTCTCTGGGTTTTTTGTCTTTCTTTTTTTTACTCCAGAAGAAGCAATAGGACTAACGCCATGGAGGAGAGACGAATAGTCCCTGAAACCTTCTCAAGTGAATAACGACTAAATTTAGACGCCCTCTGCCCCCTCCGTCTGCAGCTGTGCTGCTGACTCACGCATGGCTGCGGCAGGCGGATGAGCGGATCGCCCGTCCGTAAAACCTGGGCAGGACCAGGGCCTCCACGAAGGGCCTTACTGAACCCTCCAGACACACGGTCTTTCCTTTTCCTCAACAGGCACAGGAGGCTCAACACGCCTTGATGTTACTCATAACAGCACCAGGGAATCCTTCTTTGCATTTAACCCAAGCCCTTCTGCTGTGGCTTATGTCCATTTCCTTCTATTTTGCACTCCTGAAGACACACAGAATATTACTAAAGTAAAAACTTGTTCTAAGCTTAAGAAAAGGAGATATTATTTACTAGTCCAGAGAGCTATTAGAAAAGTTGCCAGGGAATAACTCAAAGCTTCCTAAAACCAGCATGTCACAGTTCCCTGGCAATGACCCGCTCTCTCCAAGGGAAAATAGTTGATTTTACCAACGAAATAGGGAAAGAGCACTGTGATCTCTCTACTGTACCCAACGCTGCTCTCTCCATATCAAAGGCAAAAGCGGCTTGATCAGTGCCAGGATTAAATCTGGGAGTGCAGAGAAGGCCCTACCAAACAAAGCCGCCTCGTTCCCAAAATAGCCTGCAACTGTCACCGCCACCAAGTGCCACTGGCTCCAA